CGCCCGGGGAGCCGCGCTCATGGCCTTCAGCCCGTGGCAGATCCTGTCCCCCGTGCAGTGGGCCAAGTGGACGTGGTCCGCGGTGCGCGGCGGGGCCGCCGGGGACGACGAGGCCGGAGGACCCGCGGGCGACCCCGAGGAGGAGGACTCGCAAGCCGAGACCAAATCCTTGAGTTTCAGGCAAGTACCCCGCACGCCTGCGAGGCGCGGCCGTGCTGCCATCCCTCCGTCTGCGCTCATTCCGTGTGCGTGTGTGTGGCCGCCACCCGCCTAACGTGTCATGGCCTTGCCGCGTCCCTGCCTAACCAGGTCCCCGCTGGGCAAAGTTCAGGAGGCTCCGGCCCGCGCCTTTGCTCTCGGTGTCGCTATGAGCTTTTCCAACCCAACCCAGAAGCTGCAGGCTGTCCGCTTCCCCGTTTCCTCGGTCACTTTCCCCAAACCGGCCCCTGCGCCCCTTGGTCCTCAGTGTCACCGATCCCTCCTGGTGCAAGTTAGAGCCCTCTCTGGGGGTGGGGAAGTCGCTCCCCGGCACTCCCAGGGCCCCCCTGTGTCCCCAAAACGCAGCGGTGTTAAAGAAGGTCGCGCGATGACAGGCCCCTGGCAGCTGGTGAGAAATGGTGGTCTCTGCTGAGCTGTCACCCTGTGATTGCGGGAGGCAGGTGACAGCATTCTTAGCCTGGCCCGAGTGAGTTCCAGACAGGTAGCGGCCTATGTAGGAAAAAGCCGAGGCTCGAACTGGCTTAATTTTGAGGTGGGGGCTTATTCATTGCAAGTCTCTGGAAAGGGCTCCGGGGAGGAGAGGAGTCTGATGGAAAGCACTTTTTTTGGGGGAGGTGTCAGAGGGAAGGATGACCTCACAAATAGCTGGGGATGGAGAAAGACTTCCCGGATGGAGGAGGTTTCGGGGAGACGGGGTCCAGGCAGAGGAAGCCAGCAGCCTCTCTGCAGGCCAGTGGGTGCTGAAGCTCGGTTGCTCCTAAGTGAGACAAAAATGCGGGACTTCAGCTGCTGTGCGGAGGTCAAGGGGGGTCAGAGGTGCCGTTGAAAGTGGTAATTCCCAATTTTTCCCCCTTGGCAGCTCGGATTCTGAAGGTAATTTTGAGACCCCTGAAGCTGAAACACCGATCAGATCACCTCTCAAGGAATCCTGTGATTCATCACTAGGATTGCCAGGCCCTGGGGCCAAAACCCAAGGTAAAGGAAAGCTCCCATGTTCTGCCTGTTTTCATTTATTTATTTATTTAAAAGTTTGGAACCGTGCACATGAAAGAAGGGGAAAAGTGTTAGTTTAGGGCGGTTTAAAAAGGTTAGGATCATCTGTTTACTCAGAAACAGTTCGAAAGCTTTTATTTGAAAGGCTTTTTGTTTTTGTTTTTTTGAGTTGTGGTTACAGGGTTTCTTCCTTGAGTCGAGTGTGTGCCTCTGCCTCCTGAGCTTATCTCTATCAGACATTCCTGCGAGGTCTTTCTTAGTCTGTTAAAAAAAAAAAAGAAAAAGAAAAGAGAAAAAAGAAAAGAGAAAGCAAAGTGTATACCCTGGTGGGGTTATGTTCAGATTTGACATCAAAAGTTTCTCAGGCTAGGTTCCATTTTCCCCCTGGAATGGCTAGAGACGAAAATTACAGGTAAGAATTGATTTTTTTTGTTTGTTTTTTAAGTAGGGAGGAATCTTAAGAGGCTGTTTCAGAATTGCTGACCTCTCCCTCATTCATGCCCAGATGGCGGCTTGAACCCTGCCGTCTGCTTAAGCCAACCTGCACCAAGAGTCTCTTGTAGCCCTCAAAGTCCAACCTTGAGCCTGCCCTTCATCTGCAGGCGCTTCTGCTGTCCCACTTAATTCGCAGGGACCTCTTTTTTGTCACTTGGCCAGTGTTGAGTAGAGTTTTACCTGTCCTGATAGCGTTCATTTGCTCATTCAGTAAATAGAGTGTGCTGTGATTCAGCAGTGCAGCCTTGCTTTGCCAGCGCTGAGGCTGTGGAGGGAGTAGAGCCTCCTAAGGGTTAAGCAAAATATATACAGGAGGTCTTCAGAAAGCTCCTGGGATATGCATATTACGAATGAAACCATATACAGACATAACCATTTTTTTGTTTTGCACCATAATAACCCCATCCTGTCCTTTTCTTTTCCATGGACTTTTCGAAGTCTCCTAGGAGCTGGGGCTAAGTACTGTGGAGAAAAACGAAGCAGGGAAGAAGGAGCAGGGAGCACAGGTTGGGCTAGGGAATGCTGAAGGGCACTTAGGGAGGTGCAGGGCCCTCAGGCAGGGTCCAGGCAGCAAGCCTAAGATTCCTGGGGAAAGGCCCCTTCCAGCAGAGCAGATGGCACCTGCCAAGGTGTGAGACAGGACCAGCCCGTGACAGGGCCAGGCCCTCGTAGCGTGCTTGAGGAGTAACCAGGACGTGTGGCTGCAGTGACCTGGCCTGGCCGGGAGCTGTCACAGCTGAGCAGCGAGGGGAAAGGTGCCTATCGTGTCACAGTTTGTGCGCTGGTTTTCTTTCTGTGTGAGGTGGGAAGCCACTAGCGAACGTGTTCACCTCCTCTGGCTGCCCTAACAAAGTACAGGTTGAGCATCCATGATCTGAAATCCAAAATTCAGAATACTCCACAATCTAAACCTCTTTGATTTTGGTAACAAGTGGAAAATTCCACCCCTGACCTCACACGGACAGTCGTAGTCAGAGCACTGCACTGCAAACACGAAGGGTCAGATTGGCTCCAGGCCATGGGTCGTAGTCACTGCATTGCAAACACGAAGGGTCAGATTGGCTCCAGGCTGGGCGTATGGGGTATTTATGAGACATAGGTAAATTCTGTGTTTAGGGTTAGGTTTTATCGCCGAGATAGTGTATTATGTGTATGCAGATATTTCAAAATTTGAATCATTCTAAAATCCAAATCACTTCTGCTCTTTAGCATTTCTAATAAGGGATATCAACCTGTACCATAAACTGAGTGATAAAAATCACCGAAGCTGATCCTCCCCCAGATCTGGAGGTCTGCAGTCAGAGTGTCAGCAGGGTCGTGCTCCCTCCACCCACCTTAGGAAGAATCCTGCCTGGCCTCCAGGCCCCCCGTGGCTGCCGGCACTCTGGTAGTCTTTGGTTGACGGCAGCGTGACTCCAATCTCTCTCATCAATTGGCAGTTTTCTGTGTCCCCGTGTGCGTCTTCATGTGACCTTATTATAAGGACACCAGTCATTGAAGTTAGGGCCCACGCCTATCCAGCATGACCTCGTTCAACTCCATCCCATTTCCAGAGATACTGTTTCCGCACGGGGTCACATTAACAGGTACTGGGAGTTAGGACTTTGAATTTATCCTTCTGAGGGACATGAGTCAACCTGCAGCAGAGGGCTTTGAGCATTGGGCTTTTGCTTTGACTCCCTTTTCAAAGGCCCCCTGGCTGCTCTGCGGAGAAGGGACTGTCGGTGGATGCCCTTTGCACGCCCTGCCTCTGTTCTCGTGTCCGACCCCGCCTCCTCCACGGCAGAGTCGGCTTCCCGTTACCCAGTTCCCCAGGTTTGGAGCCAATAATGCCTTTCTCATCTCTCGGTCACTGCATTCTCGTGCACGGTGACTTCTTCACAGGTGGCCCGGGGAGGCCTTCTGGTAGCAGACTTTGCCATGGAGCTGGAATTATTTGTAAAATGGCTTCAGCTTTTTATGATTTGTTTTTGCTCTAAATGGAGAGCTCTGTACTGTGACCCCTTCTGAGAACTCGGCAACGCCTTCACCTGCCGCCGTCGGGTTCAGGCACCGCGTGGGGACGGGTCCGTTCACGTATTAGAGAACCCGCATGTGGCATGTAGCCGGATAGACGCAGTGACGACCAAGATGTCGTTTGTTCCTCACTTCTTACGCTTTATTCTCTCAAGATTGGCAGATCAGAAACGAGATTCCAACACTTGAAAGAACTGCTTTGTGGTCTTCACATCACATTTAAATAAAGCGCAGAAGACCCGGGCTAAGTAGCTGTTTGAAGACTGCTTTGAATTTTCCCAGCTTGGGCGTCCCTTGCTCGTCATCTTGTCAGCTGCTAGACTGATTCATTCGCCAGGTTTTTTGCCCGTTGAATAGAGGCCTGGATGTCCGAGGCCCGGAGCCACAGAGAACCCATTGTTCTGTCCTTCCCGTGCTAACGACTCTCACGCTCTATCCTCATTCTCTCTAAAAGGGAACATTTTTAAAAAACATTTTTTTCTTTTGGAGAGTCATGGGTAGAGAAACGTCGTGTGATAGTTCCTGGTTCAGGCTGTGACTGTGGGAGGTGGCCGGTAGTAGTGTACCGTCTGGGAGCCCGTCCTGCACACGGCGACATCGCTCGGGGTAGGCTTTCCGCAGCAGGGGCCGGCTCCGCAGCCTGTAGCCCTCTGGGGCTCCTTCTGCCCTGTATCCGGAGTCCAGAGTCTCGCTGGTCTCCTTGTCATCCATACATGGTAGAGGTGAAAATGCAACCAAAGCCCAGGTCTGATCAGGAAGGTTGCAGTGGCAGAAATTCCTTAAGAGTCATTTCATGTTGAAGTTACATTTCTGGGACTGGACGGTTCCCATTCTCCCACAATTGTTGATTGTTTCGCTCCTGATGAAGTTGTATTTCTGTGGCTCTGGGGTGTGCATGGGTGGCACGTATGGGTTACATGTCGACTGTACCGTCTGGAGAATGGCTTCCGAGTCAGTCCGTAGGCGTTGGAGTGAACATGTGTGAAGATCCTGGCCCCCTGGTACACAGCGGCCCCCACGTGCGTGGACTCTGCCCCGTATGCCATACCCATGGCTCCCATGTCAACTGCTCTGTAAATCTTTGAAGTCAGGGAAGGATCTGAGTCTATTTTGAAATGACTTTCTTTTTATTGAAACTATTTTAGGAACTTACAGTATCAGAGCTCTGTAATGATTCTTCCTGACATAATTGTGCCATTCTAGGAATTAAACAGTGCATAGGATAGTGGATTTTTTTTTTTAAGCCACAGATAGAAGCTGGTTTCAGTCTAGTTTTACCTTTTGTTTTATAAATTTTATTGCTAGAGGGAACATGCACTTGCCAGAGAGAGAGAGAGAAAGAGAGAGAGAAGGAGAGAGAGAGAAGGAGAGAGAGAGAAGGAGAGAGAGAGAAGGAGAGAGCGACCCCGCTTTGGGAGCACGGTCACGGCACAGTCGTTTTTTTCATCTCTCCATCCCATCAGGGTTTTGGGCACACACGTAAGCCTGGCATGGTTTTCAAGCTGCCGGGGTTGGGACTCAAACTGCAGTCACCCAATGCACGTGCTTACCCGCTATGCTACTGAGCTGGCCCCAATGCACTTCCGTTCTACTTCAGTGAAATGGAACTCTATCCAGAGAGATTTTTGACAGCACCAGACTGGTGGCTGTCATGTCTGGGCTGGAAGCTCTGTGTTTGCTGTCTGTCTGCCTTCGCTGTGGTGGGACATGAATTAGACACATCCTCTAGGAAAGGACGTTGGGGAGGTCCACGTCAGGTTCTCCCTCCGTACATGTTCCAGGAGATGCTGAAGGGTGTGGCTTTAAACCAGCTTTTTAGCCTCAAAAACTGCAGTGGATATCCTCTGCCGCTTGAGCTCCCCCTACCGTGCACACACATCTTTATAACATTACTACCTTTCTTAGAGAAATACTGCTTGTTTGTTTACTTATTTACCTTTTCCATGAGCACTAGAGAGAGATTCAGGCTTGCTCAACACGGTTCCCATGCCACGACCCACCCCCAGTCCCGGCCAGCCCGGGTCATGGGCAGGTGTGTACAGGAAGGCCTTGTGCCACCACTGCCCACCGCCTGACCTGAGAGGAGGATATGTCTGTTTCATTGGCAGAGGATGTGTGTGTGCTTGTGAGAGAGACCGGGCAGAGAAGGAGAAAGCCCCCTAATTGGGCCTTGGCTACAGTCTCTGGGGCTGCAATCCCGTCTTCATTTCTTTTGTTTTTAAGAAAAATTTTTATAAGAATTATTTAACTTTTATTTATTCATTCATTTATTTTAATAAATGAATTAAATTTAATAAATGAATTGACCAGAGAGAGATGGAGAAAGAGAGAGAAAAAGCAACAAAGCAACCAGGTCCAGGACTCGAACCACGGTTGGCCATGTGTAGTATTCAGTGCTGTAACCACCATGCCACTTGCTGGTCCTCCCAAACTTCATTTCTTCATCCTGTAGGGATTTGGGGGGCACACAC